CTGCCTCATCTTTCTTCCATAGAGCTCATCATGGTGGGTTCAAACCATCAGCCTTCTCATTAGCAACCAAATGCCTTAACTACTACACCAGCAGAGCTCCTTACCTAAAGATTAAGGCCAGAAAATGATACTGTTGTTAGTTGCCACCGTGTCAGCTCCAATTCATGGCAAGCTTTATATATGACAGAACGAAGCATTGCCCAGTCCTGCAGTGTTTTCACGGTCACTGGCATATCTGAGTCCATTGTCGCAGCTGTTATGCAGTGGTTTCCAATCTAGAGGCCTATCTTCCAGCACTATACTGGACAGTATTCTGTTGTGATCATTGACTGATTTTCCTAAGGTGAGCACTAAGCTTTTCTTTGTACTCTCAGTCTGGAAGGTAAGCAGCAACATGTAAGCCACCACAGTACAAATGACAGATAGCGGGTGGCAGAAAATGATAGAGCTAAAAATTGTAAATGTGGACACACATCTTTCCTCTCCACAGCCTGCGTACATTTCAAACGCCCAGCAGTTTCTACCACATAAATTACTCTCTGGCTACCCCTCTTGAGATAAACTGTTTTGATTGCCTGTTGTGAAGGCAGAATGTTACATATCCAGGATCCATTTATGAAAAATAAATATGTCTGGTTTTCTATAGGTTGGGACTGGCTCATGCATTTCCAATGAAAGGGATCCCTGTGGGTAGCCTTGAGAAATGCAGATCCACCTAATTCAAGTGTTCTTGAAAGGAATTTCAGGGAGGGAAGTGCTGGTCTTGCAGCTGCAATAGGAGAGGAGCTTAGAGAGCCAGCACAGAGATGCTATTCTGAGAAGATAGCTGTGACTGCCTGTCCCGTTCTCCATCATTGCAGCAGTTAGTTACACATAAGTGCTCTTCCAAGATGCTAGACTTCAGAGGTTGCAGTTTTAATGTGTGGGACGTATCCTTGATCTCTCAAGGCAATGCCTTCTTCATTGGTTGCCTAGAGTTTTATTAAAATTGGCATCTCCATTTCTGAGGGGATCCAAAGCATTTTGGGATATTTTCTGCACCTTGTTTCTCTTTACCAAGAGTGCAAAGAGATATAGATGAACGGACAACTGGCAGAGCTCATGAAGTCTTCCCTGTGGCACACTGGGCGTTCTCTTCTGGGTTGTTGACCAATTTTTATTGTGTCTCTATGCTGCCCCTCACTAGACATCCCTTCGCCTATCATTCAAGCATTTAACGAACACTTGCTCTCGCCTTGGCCGGGTGGGGCACAGTGGGAGGCTCTGTGGACTCGCTCGAGTGAACAGAACAAGTTTGTGTTCTTCTTCTATGTGTAAGAATGTGGTTCATGCTTGTAGCATGGTGGTGTGATGTGAGGCAGACTGAAGTGGTCTGCAACTGCAACCAACAATGGTGGTCTGGTCCTGCTATCACTTGTTTGTAACAGACTCTGATATGACATTCCGTGAAATATTAACAGCTAACCCTGTTACCATGGCCCTTTGTGGGCACTGTTCCAAGCATTTTACATATGTAACACAGTTAAGCCTCACAACCACCCATGACGTAGGTACTATTATTATCTCCTATTTTAAGATAAGGAAACAGGTTCAGGAAAGTTCACCCCAAGGTTTGCCCAAGGACCACACAGCTGGTAAGTGTGGAGTCAGGGTTACAAACCCAAGTAGGACACTCCAGAGTCCTCTCACTTCCCCACCTTACAGCTGTTCAGGGTAGCACACAATTATGTTTTGAGTTATTACATGTTTATAGATCAGTATCCACAGGGATGTGCAGGCCACACCCAGGGCTCCAGGCGCTCAGCCACCGGGAAGGTGGGGACAACCTGAACTTGGGAATCAGTAATGTCTGGGCTGGAATCCCAGCCTCACCAGTTGTGTGACCTCAGGCAAGCTGCTAACCTCTCTGAGAGTCAGTTTCACAAGGAACCGACAGGGCTGCAATGAGGACAGAATGAGATTATTGACAGAAGATGCCTGAACCACCAGGCAGCTTGATTCTTGCATGAACTTATTTTTTGATTCATTTGACAAACACCAGATAGGGCCAGAGGCCACTTGGCATCTGGGGCTTCTTTATAAATGTTCTTTTCATCCTGGTGGTGTAGTGCCTAAGGCACTTGACTGCTAACCAGAAGGCTGGTGGTTCAAACCCACCAGCCACTCCTCGGAAGGAAGGTTGGGCAATCTACTTCCGTAGTGATACCACCTCAGAAACCCAAGGAGGGGTTGTTATGAGTCGGATCCTACTTGATGGCAGTGAGTTTCGCTTTGGTTTGTTTTAGAAGAGAAATAACCTTTATATAGGGCCAAGTGTGATCACCCATCACACAAGTGGTGAAAAAAATCTATGGAATTTCATAACCAGGAGGGATGACCTGTGGCTAAGGTATGAGGGCAATAAGGGAGGGCTCAGAGAGCTTATCCGGAGAGTGGATTGGAATTTGACAGGTGACAGGAAGCCATGACAGATAGAAGGGACCCAGAGAGCATCGTGGGAGGTGCCATCTGGAGGAAATGGTGAGCACTCTTAGCCATGTGGGGAACAGCAAGAGAGAAGGTGAATTGGGATGTGGCCAGACCGGTAGGCCTTGAATATTCAACAGAAAAGAATTTGAGTTTGTGCATTAGGCAACAGGAATTAACTGAAAAATTTTTTTATCAGAATTCACATGATCAAAAATATACTATGAAGTTAAACTTCTGAATTGTATTTACCAGTTGCCATCAAGTCAGCTCTGACTCACAGTGGCCTCATGGGGTCAGAGAGAACTGTGCTCCACACGGGTTTATTTGTTTATTTTTTATTACAAAGAATTTTTTAATTTTTATTCTCATCGTAATTGGGTGAAAGTTTACAGAGCAAATTCATTTTCTTTGTTTTCCACACGGTTTCTCAGGACTGATTTTTCAGAAGCAGATTGTCGGGCACCTGAGTGGACTCGAACCGCCAACCATTTGATTAGCAGCTGACTTTGTCAACCACATGCAACACCCAGGGACTCCAAACTACGTTTGTTGTTGTTGTTATGTGCCCTTGAGTCAGACCCGACTCATAGCAACCCCTCCTCTTTTTAGGGTTCTGGAAAGATGCCAGTTGGGAGGCTGTTGTAATTGAGTGAACCGGGGTAAACTATAACAGGAGGGCGTCTCTCTCCAGGCTCTAAGAAAAAGAGTCATTACATCAGGACTCCTTGCCCACAAGACTTCCCGGACTGGTTCTACGCCCCCTCACACCTTGTCCCAAGTCTAATCACTCCATCTGTACCCTCCGTTCGGCCCCGGCACTGGCCTCTTCATTTTCCCCATTTCCCGACCTTTGCTTTGCTCCATCCCCTTGTCTAGTCCCTCCTGGCTGAGATCATGCAGGTTGATTATCCCAGCGCCTCCTCCCCTCCAGGCTTGGCCCAGAGTTGACCATCAGGTGTCATCACAGATGTGAAGACAGCAATGAAGAGGAAAGTGCCACCAGAGTTTCTCCCCGAGGGAACAGAAAGGGAGAAGGTTGGGAAGTCCTATTCGGATACTGAGGTACAAGGGAGAAGAAGGGGTCAAAGGTGTCCCTGAGGTTTCTAGTCTGAATGGGAGGATGGTGAGCCATGCAGAGAAGGGATAAGAAGAATTGATCTGGGAGGCTTATTCCCTCATTTAAGCCTCGACACAGTCCTGTGGGGAAGGCACCATTCTCACTTTTAGTTGAGGAAACAGAGACACTGTGAGGCCAAGCCACTTGTGCAAGCTCACACAGCTAGCAAGTGGTGATGATGGGATTTGAACACAGGTGACTCTGGTGTTGTTTCTAAATCGTGGTGGAGAGACTCTGTCATCATTGAAAGCCCTTCATTTTCTGAGGTTTTCATTCACTCTTCTGAGAAACTGCATCTAATTAAAAGTGTGAACCCTCTCCCTAGAAATATGGGTAACATGTTCTCACAAAGACACACAAATTCACATCTAAGTTCAGGGGTCCTTGAACACCTCCAGAACCTGTCCATGATTCCTCGGTAAAAAACCCCCAGCCCAAGGTCAAAACACCTTGACATGTGCCAGTGTGTTTAACTCATACAACAGCCCTGTGAAGCTAGTATCCTCACCCCCATTGCCCAGATGCAACTCCCTGTGGTGCCCGAAGCTGATGAACAGCAGGGTTCAAGTCCACATTGGTGTTATTTCAAGAGAGACAGACACAAGGAGATTGGAAGGTGCCCAGTGCCTGCACGTATGTCTTCTCACAAAGCCCTGGGTCAAGCTAGAGGATCCAGGTGTGTGTGGGACCAGCAGAGGCTGGGGACTGAGAAGTCCAGGAATGAGATTGTTTAACGGCAAGGCAGAGAGCTCAAGGAAGGGGCTCTTATGAGCCAGGCATGATCCTTTCCATGTGCCGAACCTTCCCAGCACCGAGCTGTTATTCTTAGATGCAAGGAAATGAGGTTCTGAGATGTCAGTGACTTGCCCCAGGTCACACAGCCTGTCTCTACTGCAGACAGAGATCCAAAGGGGAGTCTTTTGACTACAGAGCTCTCCCCCTCTCCCTTGGCTTGCAGCCTCCAGAGTGACTTCAGAGACTCTCAGGACTCAAGTCCCTTCCCCCGGCCAGCCACAGATGGACAGGACTTTGCCTCCACTAACAGAGGGGTAAAGTCCAGAGCAGCTCCCCTGTCCAGCCTCCCACCGCCTGTTCCCCTCACCCCCAGGACTGTGGCCTCCTCCAGGACACCCGGCTCCTTCTTAGGCTCAAGCGCCTTCCTTCTCCCAGAACTCTCTGGGGACCTGGCACAGGAGGAGAGGGAAGAGCTAGACGAGGCTTTGGGGGCAGAAAGAGGTGCTTGGAGGATTCAGCCAGTCTGGAGAGAGATGGGGCTAGATTGTGAAGACCACAAGAGACAGGGTTACCCAGACAATGAGATAAGGGACTGAGATAAGTCTGAGATAAGATGAGATAAGGGACTGAGACAGGCAGGAAGCAGAAGACGGGGGAGAAGTCCAGGAGGCTCCTTTACCTTCAAAGTCCATGAGGGCTTAGAGCTTTCTGGGTTGTGTGTCTGCCTGGTATGTCCTTTGCTTAGGTGCAATGTGCAGAGGCCCAAGGTGGAACTGCCAGAAGGGGGCGGGTCTAGTCTGCCCTCCTCCCCTCAACCCTTCCCAGGTTCCATAGGCCTCCTCTTACCCTCCTTCAGGGCCCCTCATTCTGTACACATTCAGAGTCAGGGGAGGGGCTCTCAGCTGCAGACTCAGAAGTAACCCCCTTTTTGTCACCAGCCAATGAAGGGAGCCTGAGGCCCTGTTCTCACCTCACAGAGAGCTCAACCCTCCTTGGCCCTGCCCCAATCATGGGAAGGAAGGGCTGCTTGGTGCTGTGAATGGGAGAATGTACTCTCTTGTGAGGACTGAAAATCACGGGCCTTAGACCATCCTTTAAAAAAAAAAAAAAAAAAAAAACGCAATGAAACCAGAATTACTGGTTGGATGGAGTCTGGTGGGACCCCCAGGACTGTGGCCCTGGGATACGCTTCAGGCCTGGGATAGGACTCACTCCCAAAGACTTACATGCAGAACACTCAACCCAGGTGATGCATCCACCTACTCTTTGGAGATACACCCCTTGGAGCAATCGGCCACAGGGCACCAGAGGGACAGAATTCACATGGAGGGAAAGCTGGACAGACAGGAGTGCACAACTAAGAAGGGCACAGGAATAGGGTATCACAGAGAAGGGAAGAGGGAAGTGTGGGTTAGGGGTGGGGATGGTAATCGGGGAGTGAAACCAAATGTACACAAACTGTTGAATGTAAAACAAGTTCTGCTCTGTAAATTTGCACCCAAAGCACAATTTTAAAAAAAGAAGCAGCAGCAGCAGCTAATCTGTATAAATTCTTCTATAATTTTACCTCAGATTTGTTCAAGTGAACAAATTTCAGTCAGTGCAAAAAGTAAAATAGTTCCTGTTTAAAAAGTAAAAAATCTCTTTTTCTGAGCCTCTAGTTTCCTCAGCTGTAAAATGGAATAATATGGACCTCATGGACTGAACTGAAAATCAAGGGAGAAACACAGAGTAGAAACTCAACTTCCTTTTCTCTTCCCAAGATACCTTAAGGACTCAGGCGATCAGAGTGTGGCTTCTGAACTGGAAAACTGCTGAGAACTTGTACTGGGACATCAGGTAAATTCCTCTCCAAGAACTCTCAGGGCTTCAGCTTCTTCCTCTGTAGCTGTTCTTGCTAAAATCTCAGGGACCTCCCAGTTGTCAAATCAATGGTCTCTTCTCCACCTTCTCCCATTCCTTTCTCTGTGATGTGTGACCCTGCCACGCCTGAATGAGGTAGGCAAGGCACCTGCACACTGTTTAAGGGGACCTCACTCTCAGGTTCAATTGCCCACTGCAGGCACCTTGCTTCCCTCACTCCAGTCATGGTTCTGCTTCTTACTTACACTTCTCCAAACTCTTTTTTCTCTGGATGTCATCTTCTCCTGGTTTTTCTCTTAAAGGCTCTTTTTTATTTCTTGCAGGCCTTTCTTCATACACCCAGCATAGTCTACTGTCCTCATAAGCGAGGACCAGAGTCCTCAGCTGAAAATACAGGCTTCTGCTTCAAGCCAGCTGCCAATTTTAGTGTACCCTTTGTGTGGTGGAAACTATTCCTCTTTTCCTCCTGGACATGCAGCTAAACTACATTTCCCAGTATCCTTTGCAGCCATGTGACTGAATTCTGGCCAATGGGATGTAGGCAAAGTGATACGCGCCACATTTAGGCCTGATCCATAGAAGTCTCACGCATGATCCTCATCTTTCTTCTCCCATTAACTGGTTAAAGTAGAAGACTTTTCAGCCCTAGGAGAATGACTGTGGTGCAGTGAATTGCTTGGCATGGCCCTTCTAGCCATGGTCTTTGTGACTCCAACCAGATGACCAGATGGGACTATGCAAATGTGGGCTGCTTGTGGCCCACCAAGGAGATTGAATAGCTAGCTTGCTAATAATGTAAATAAGGTTCATGGCGCCCTTGTGAAGGTGGGACCGTGCACATAAGGTGTATGGAAGGAACCCTAATATGGTGTTTCGGTTCTCTAGTGCCACTCTAGATCTGTCCTGGAGGAAGCGCAGCCTAAATAGTCCTTGGAAGTGAGAATGGCCAGACTTCGTCTCACCTACTTTGGTCATGTTGTCAGAAAGGACCATTCCCTGGAGAAGGATGCCATGCTTGGTAAGGTGGAGGGTCGACAAAAGAGGGGAAGGCCTTCAACGAGGTGGATTGACATGGTGGCTGTGACAATGGGCTCAAGTATAGCAAGGATCATAGAGCTGGTGCAGGATCGGGCGGTGTTTCTTTCTGCTGTGCATGGGGTCACTATGAGTCGGACACAACTCGACAGGACCTAACAACAACAACAACAGTGTCACTCTAACAGAAATAGCACAAATGGGTGGCTTGAACATATAGGGATTTATTCTCTTACAGTTTCGGAGACTAGAAGTCTGAGTTCAAAGTGCCAGCTCTAGGGGCTGGGTGAAGGTCTCTCAACCTTGGGCTTCAGCTCTGCCTCTTGCTCCTGGCCCACTGGACTAGAAGCATCTCTTCACTCACATAGCTGCTGACTGCTGAGGCTGACAAATCCTAGGCTAACAAGTAAAATGGAACAGTCCCAAAATTATCAAGCCACACGGTAGGCCACTAATTCAAGTCCATTTAATAGTCCCAAGATTGGCAGACAACATGGCAGGCTGCTGAATGATGACCTGGCTACATGCAGGATTCAAGCATGTCAAAAGCTGCAGAGACCTTTCTTAAAACTTCTCCTTATATACTGGAAGCAGACCCCATCCCTAAGGTAGCTACGCAGCTGCTCCAGTAGATTCCACCATGGAGCTGATTAGTAATCTCATCATGGGGAATAACTACATACAGCTGACCAGCCACTCAACCAGGCCCAGCCAAGCTGACACACAACTTATCTATCACACATGGATATGGTCACTTTTGCCATCCCATTACACTTAAAATGAGCCATCTCAGAGGTGGAAAGAGGGGACCTGACTACCACCAAGAAGAAGCATGCACCCTTTGGACCTGGGGTCCCTGCTCTGGGAACCTCCTAAGATCCAGGAGACAGAGAGCTATAACACCAGAGAGACACCAAGAAGCAGCACAGGAGAAGCAGTGACAAGAAACAGTGACAGCAGAGACAACAGAGGCAGCAGAACCAGGAGACTGGCAGGAGGTGGCATCGTGGGCTTCATGGCCCATGGAGCAAGAAGGCTGAGTGCCTTCAGGCAGGAGGCTTGCTGGCAGAGTAGGGTGCCTCTGGGCACTTGGGGAAGTTGTGCTTGCCAAGTCACAGAATTAGAGCTGAGTGCCTTTGGCCTGGGGCTTCCTGATGGAGTGGGATGACTATGGGCACTTATTGGCAGAGTTAAAAGAGCTTTGTAACACGTGCTTGAACAGGGCAGGGGCCAAGGGGCCAAGGGCCATAGATAGACCTGCCTACGGACACTGCTGAGAAAAAGCTGTCCTTCCCTAATAACCCTAATAATTGTGAGTATTGTCTGAGTTCTGTATGACCATTGTAATGAATTACTGAACCCAGTAGAGAAGTAGAGAGTGCCATGGGAGGGACATTTGGTGCCAGAATTGGTAAAAAGGTTGAAGGGTAGAAGCATGTCTGACCTCCGCCTCATAAGAATCAGCCTGGAGTTGATGATGTTGATCCTTCTCCCCTCTGGTGAAGTTAGAGGGGGTCAGACACGTCTGCCACACCATTGTCATAATGACAGAGTCACAACATGGAAAATCCTGGATCCCTGAGAGACCTTATGGAAAACCACTCTTCAAACGTCAGGACTGAGGTGTTACATAAGCATGGATAAGAACTGTCTTCAGGGAGTGACTTCATCAAGAGGGCTGAGGAAGAAGCTCTGTGCTCTCTTCCCCAAAAGCAACAAAAACAGAAGTGAAAACTATCATATCTAACTATCCTAGTTACCTAAACCAAACAAACAAAAAAAAAAAAACATACTCACTGCCATCAAGTCAGATCTGACTCATAGTGACCCCTCCTTGGGTTTCTGAGGGGGTATTACTATGGAAGTAGATTGCCCAACCTTCCTTCCAAGGAGTGGCTGGTGGGTTTGAACCACCAGCCTTCTGGTTAGCAGTCACTAGGCACTACACCACCAGAGCTCCCACCTAGTTATCTAGTGGTGCTATAATAGAAATGTCATCAGTGGATGATTTTCACAAACAAATTTACTCCCTTACAGTGTAGGAGGCTAGAAGTCTGAGTTCAGAACATCAGCTCTAGAGGAAAGCTTTCTCTCTCTTTTGGCTCACAGCTTAGGAGGGAGGTCCTTGTCTCCTTTCGATATCTGTGGGTACAGTATTCCTTGGTGGTGGTGGTGGTGTTGTTATGTGCTCTGGAGTAGGACCTGACTCATAGCGACCCCTCCTTGGGTTTCCGAGGCAGTATCACTACGGAAGTAGATTGCCCAACCTTCCTTCCGAGGAGTGGCTGGTGGAGGTGTCCATATATCTTGCTTGACATCAGTCGTCCCCTAGATCTAGGAGCTTCTCAGCACAGGGATCCCAGGTCCAAAGGACAAACTCTGCTCCCAGCTCCTCTTTCTTTTCTCTGTGCTTCTCTCTCCTTTTATCTCGTGTAAGATAAAAGGTGATGTAGGCCATACCCCAGGGAAGTTCCTCTTACATCACATTAGAGCTGTGACCTAATGTGGGTGTTGCATCCCATCCTAAACCCCTTACATTGGATCGGAGCTGATCACATCAAATCATATCATGACATGATTGAATTCCATAACTGCCACATTACATCATGACATAACTGCCAATCCACTGAGAATCATGGACAAGTCAAGATGACATATGCTTTGGGGGAACACATTCAAGTCACGACACTAACCTTGTCAGAACCCTAGTAAACAGTCAGAGGTTCACAGCAACCAAGCCAATGCAGAGTTAGCAAGAAGCAATATCAAGGGAATGGTAGGAAAGCTTTGTGAG